CCTTTCCTCATCAGAAAGCTGTTCCAGCCCTCTGGTAATTTTTGTGGCCCTCCTCTGGACCCGTTTCAACAGGTCCATGTCTTTCCTGTGCTGAGGGCTCCAGAGCTGGACACAGGACTCCAGGTGGGGTCTCGCCAGAGCATAGGGGCAGAATCACCTCCCTCGACCTGCTGGCCACACTTCTGTTGATGCAGCCCAGGATATGGTTGGCCTTCTGGGCTGTGAGCACACATTTGTCAGCTCATGTTCAGCTTTTGACCTACCAGTACCCCCAAGTCCTTCTCGGCAGGGCTGCTCTCAATCCCTTCATCCCCCAGCCTGTATTGATACTGGGGCTTGCCCCGACCCATGTGCAGGACCCTGCACTTGGTCTTGTTGAACCTCATGAGGTGCACACGGGCCCACTTCTCAAGCTTGTCCAGGTCCCTCCAGATGGTATCCCATCCCTCAAGTGTGTCAACTGCACTGCTCAGCTTGGTGTCATCTGCAAACTTGCTGAGGGTGCACTTGATCCTGCTGTGTCACTAATGAAGATATTAAACAGTACTGGTCCCAGTATGGACCCCTGAGAGACACCACTTGTCACCGATCTCCATCTGGACATCAGGCCTTTGACCACTACCCTCTGGATGCGACCATCCAACCAATTCCTTATCCACTGAACAGTCCACCCATCAAATCCATCTCTCTCCTATTTAGAGAGAAAGATGTTGTGGTGGTCTTCCTGGTCTCTCTGCAAATACTCATTTAATACTTTGCAAGGACATTACATCTAGACTATATTTTGCATGGTCAGCTGGTGTGGCTGAGGGAAACACACACAGAGTTGGGCCTCATCCGTCTCTTTCACTGAATAAAAGTATCATAACTTTAACTGAAGCAAGCACTGATGCTGAATATCCAAACCACAAGGCTATCGTACTTTCTCATGCTGCAAGAATCTGATTGTTTTGTAGAATTGGTACAAGTTCAACCTCAGAGACAAATATTAGAACATTCAGCAGCTACTCAAAGCCGGAAAGTAAAGGTTCAAAATTAAGTAGAGTAAAAAAAATTAATTCTAGGCCTCCCTCATTCCTCTCACCTGAACAGCTCCATCTCCTTCCTATAAACACTCCAACTGTTCCAGTGCCTGGAAAAAAAAAAAAAAAAAAAAAAAAAAAAAAAAAAAAAAAAACACCAAAAAAAAAACCAGGCTGTACTTAACATTTCAGTAGAGCTTTAATACCAGATGATGTGCTGGTGTTCAGGATTAAGTGACTGCATAATAACCAGCAACAGAAATACAGAAATTTACAGGCCTTCAGGAACTTCATGACTGATCCTAGACATCATTCTTTCTCAATGACAATTTGATCTGAGTTCTGAGGATCTAAACGTTGAGGCCAAGCATTTTACTGCTGCTTTAGACAGGCAGTCTTTTTTTGGGTGGGAGGGGGGAACTAGCCCTGAAAGTGTTCTGCAAGGGAGCATTCTCCATCACATCATGTTCATCTGAAATTATATAATCAATTTAGCAGCACAAAATATCTAACAGAATAGATGTCTTATAAAAAGGCAAAAAAAGTTTGAACATAAAAGAATGCAATGTTTCTAAACTCAGTATCAGATAACACATCATTATCCATTGCTTGAGCTCTCTAACCGTTTTTGGTCTGTAGCATGTGCTTGATTCAAACTGCTCCAGACAGGAACTTTTTAATACTACTTATCCGTTAATGGAACTACAAACGTCACACAATACACAAGTCTTTAGAGCAAGGTACCTAAAACAAGATAGATAGGACTAAAGCATGTTTTTTCATCCTATAAAAGCAATTTGTTCCTCAGAATTATTTTCCAACTTGACTTGAAAGATTATTATAAATATAGAAGAAAAGGGCAAGGGAAAAAAAAACAAAACAGTGTTCAGACAGAGACATTGTAAAACCATATTCCTATTTCAGGGATGTGAAATAATTTATAAGATAATATAACATAAAGTATTTTCCATATGTAATAGTTTATTCATGCTAGAGGACAGATCCAGTTGTAACTAATCAGTGGAAAAGCTTAATGCAGTAGCTGCAGAGATAATTCAAACAGTAACTGTAATTAAAAAAAAACAACCAGGAAAGTGCTTCCCATGAAAGCAACAACAGTAATTTCCATTTATAATTGCCTTCTATGACAATCGCAAGCGTCTTTACAACAGAATAAAGGACAGTAATTAGCACTTCCCAATGGTTAAAACCTATGAGCAAGATTTTGTGATTTAAAAATCACAAAAAATTAGAAATAAAAGCACTGAGTAGGAAATTTGTCAGATAAAAGTTTAAACAAAAGCAGCCTGACCTAAAGTACCCATAGCCAGCGAGAAGCAGTATCTGTTCTCAGAACTGATCTGCATACAAACAAGGACTAGTTTCACCAAACCCATAAACTTTAAAGCCAAGCCAAAGGCTGTGTGGGCATTTCAGTGGGCTCATGCAGCAACTGACAGCCATTAAAGTTATCATGATTTAGCAGAGAAATACTTGCATACTTTTAGCCCACAGCAAGCATGAGGGATGGTAAAAGTCTGTAGAGAAAGAGGCTTAACATAAGCCAAGTCGCACTGCCTTTCCCATGAACAGAGATCACACGGTGACTTACCTAACACATGCCAACCACTGAGACTCGAGGGCTGAGTCTATCCACCGCTGGTCAATTTTATGCATTTTTTGTTCTTTCAGTTTAGAAGCAAGTTTAAGTGAAAACTAAAGATGTTGGTCAAACCAAAAAACATGACCACATAGGGCTTAGCTCAACTGCATTAACTTCAGATCAGTCTTAACTGAAAGAAGGGCTATAGCTAACTCCGCTTTTAACATGATCAAAGCAAACTGTATTAAGAATTCCTCTTTGGCTGGAAAAGATGGCTATGCCAGCAGCTCAAATAAGCCCTGTATCTAGTCACACCCGTCCAAATGCCTTCGTACTCTAAAGCAACTGCACATAAGGAGGGTCAGTACACATGGCTACCTCTCCAGTCACTGCACCCTCTTCAGATGAAAAACCTTGTATCAGAATTCCTGCT